TTATTATTTTTTTTTAAAGACGTGATGATGCAACATATTATTATATATGAAAAATAATTTCAGTATAAAATACATAAAAATCCTAAGACAGGTACAAAAGTAGAAAAATAAAAAATTGCTGCCTAATATTCATTACTAAAAAACTAACTCTCACCAAACTAACCAGTTGTCCTATCTGATTCTGATTATAAAGATTTATTGAATAATCATCAATATTAAACTAAAAAAAGGATCGTTAGAACAACTGGTTATCACCTGTCTAAGAAGAGGGACCAATGTCGACTATGTTTATAAGAGTTATTAATTAGAGTAATATAATCTAGAGTATCTGTATTATTGGCAAATAAAGTGTTAGAGAAACTATTAATTGAAAAAGTAACATTGGACGTAACAAAATTGCTTTTTTTCTGTCGCTTTGTTATGTGTAAAGATCTTTCTTTGTCTAAAGTTAAAACATATCTAGTTTTTCATATATTGTTATAGGCTTGAGTAAAAATAAAATTGAAAAAAAAAGAATAGATGAAGTAATAGAGGAAAATTTGGTAAATGTTATTAAAGTTGATGATAAAATATTAGGAACAATACCTTTTATAAAGTCAATAAAGAAGAAATCATGTGGATTTGCTCATAGTGACCATATTGAGTGTGAAGGATTTAAAAGATTATTAATATTATTTGCAAATACAGATTTGAAAGTATAAATGAATAATTGTAATTTCAGATGAGCTATAGATTTAGAGATTAGGGATCGCATATTTTGTCTGATAGTAAGACAAAGCCAGATATGGTTGAAATCTTCATTGTGATTATTACATTGACAGCATTTTCAGAAAGGTAAATATAACTGAGGTTGAGTGGCTTTCATAAATTGAACTGTCAGAAGTTGTTTTAGAAGAAATTTAAGTTTTCTACTATAGTTTCTTGTTTTAGTAAATGATGTGATAGATGCTGATCCAGATTGGATGAAGTGAAAGGTTAAAAGCCAATTTACTTATAAGTGTCGATACTTAGTATTTCATTTGAGATAATAATAATCAGAAAAGTGTGTGGTATTGGTATAATCTTTTAAAAATGAATGTAAAGGGTGATGTATAAGCATATTATTAAATATAGGTATATAGTTAATGAAAGGAATATAGTTTAGGATAAAGTTAAGGGAGGAGAGAGAAGAGAGGATTTTGCTAAATGGTCAGCCTTGTTATTATATGAATCATTAGAGTGTGCAGCAACTTTGAAAAGAGAAATAGTGATTTGTCGTTTCTTAATGACTTTAAAAATAATTGACCAAAAAATGTAAAAGGGAACTTTGAACATAAGTGAAGGATATTGTATTGCATTTGATCTAACTATGTAATTGTAAGTATAGATAAGAGCTAAACTATCAGTATGAACAGAAATTGAGGAAAATGAAGGACTAATTAAAAGGACTAAAAGGAGAGCAAATATTTCAGCATTGGTAGAATTAGCCCAATATTTTTATAATTATTAAATAATAAATTATTTTTAAAAATTAAAAAAATAAAAAATTAATATATATTGATAATTATGAATTTTAAAAGTTTAAAAATATTATTGTTAGATACATCATAATATGATAAATCTAAAAATTTTATTTTATTTTTTTATAATCATTAAATATTAAAATATTTTAAGTTTCTAAAATGTTTTAAAACTAATTTTATACTTACAGTTTAAAAAATAGTAAATTTTTTTTATATTTCCAATTCATTCTTTATGAAATCCTATTCATTATAGTAAATTTAATAATAAAATCTCAATATTAAATTTAATAAATATATTAAAAATATAAATATAAAATATATTAATAATTTATATACATTATAATGAATATTTTGTGAAATATATTTTATATAAGATTTGTATTTATAAATTTTATTTATCATAACATATTTTTATTTATTTATTAAATATAAATTTTTTTAAAATATCACCTATTAAACAAAACAAAGAAAAAAAATAAAAAGGATCAGAAAATGAAAAAGCTTATTATATACAGAAAAAGTTATATAAGTGACAAAAAGGTAATTCATCATATAACCAAAAAAATCTTATTAAAAATTTTAATATATCAAAGTTATAAGTTTTTAATATATTTAAAGAAAAGAAAAAATAGCTATCTATTAATATTTTGAATAAGAAAATTAAAAATTAAAAATGGGATAGAGGTATTAAATTTTCAGAAATTGAATCTTAATTATATTTATATTTGCAGAAAGTAATATTTCAGACTAAACTGAAACCTTTTGACAGCTGAAACTTCTAAAACCTGATAAAATTTATTTTAGCACTAGTCAAAAAATTGAAACCACTGAAATCTGCTTAAACTTTTAAAACTTTTCTTTAAAATCTTTTTATTTTTAATCTAAAAAAGAAATCTGCATATATATGTTATCAGATATAGCTGACGCATGTCAAGTATTGATCAACACTTAACATACATATTAATTGAATATCACATTAACGTTAAGCTATAACTGTAATTTGTTTAACATCTAATATGTCAGGTGAAGATATTATTTTACCAGATAATATACAACAATCACAGAAAAATTCAGATAGTAAATCCAAATTACTTGTATAGGAAACCTATATTAAATAAGAAAATAAAGTATTAGAAGGTTATTATAAAGTGACTTGTCTTTACTGTAATACCTTTTAGCATAAAGATTCACCTCAAGCTTTAGAATCGCACTTTGCCAATAATTGTTTAAAAGTTTCATTAGAAATAAAATAGGTACTTTTAAACAACCTTACTACAAGAGTAGAAACTTCTACAAGTAATCAAAGTAAGAAATGAAAACTTTTAGTAAAATTGCTGAATAAACGAAAATAATAGATTATTATAAAAGCTCAAGGCTTTCTCTAAAAAAAAGCTATGAGATTGATCAGACATATGTGAAATCATTTATAATATGTGATATTCCTTAGCATGCTATTAAAAATTCATTTTATATAGAATTTTTAAAAACATTACATTCAGGATATATACCTTCTTCTAAATTCTCTAGTAATCTTTTGGATTAAAAAGTAGCTGTTGTGAATAATTAGATTATTAGGGAGTTAAAAAATTTTATGAATTTAACATTATGTATGTAATAAAATTATTTAATTTAATTTTATTAATGAATTGGATTTATAGTTTTGTACTAAAAATAGTATATTTTGTAAAATTCATAAAGAGACCAAAACTCAAATAAAATTAATAATTTTAATATTTAAGAATCAATATATATTGCTTTATTCAAAAAATATAAATTTTATTTTTATTTATAATATAAATATTGAGAAAAAAATAATTTTAAAAATTATCATTTTTAGGCAAATATGAATATACTAAATTTAGTACATTATTAAAAGTTATCAGGTGACTCACTAAAAAGAAAAAAATTAAATGATTTTAGAAAATGATAAAATAAGACCTTGGGTAATAATAAAAAAATTTATTAACCTTGTAGTATATGTTAAATAGATATGCCAGGCCCAACAATATGTACACATTTCCTATGAAACTTTATAACTACAATAGGTAGTTATACGTTTATGACAATTTATATATCAGCGTTGAATATATTTACCTCTGAGTTTTGAAGTTGCTGGATCACTACTAAGGTTGGTGAGACGACGTTCAAAATTATCTGAATTTAGTTTTCATCTTTTTTTAATCTGATTAGCAATTGTATTGTATGAATAATAATCAAAGATCAATGTTGCTAATTGCTTGTGAAAATTAACATGTTTTCTATTTCTCTTTCTCAAAACAAATCTGCAATATACAGAAAAGCTATTTGCTTCTGCAACTGTAAGATAAAAGGTAAAAATACAATCTGCAAAACATTTTGATTCAAAAATGTTATGATAAGAAAGTGAATTATCACGTAAATTATTAAGTATGTCTACAGCTGATCTAAATTCATTATACTCATCAAATATAATAAGTCAACAGAATATTATACTACTATAACCCTTAATATATCAATTCACTTCTGTTCTAAAAATTATTGTAGAACAACTGACAAGAAGTATGATAACTTTGCAGTCACAAATTGAACATACAGTTAAGTCAACATCATTCATTTTGTAAACTCGACTAATAGATAATCTATATGTATCTTCAAGTACATCTGTAATATTATTAGGATATTCTTAGGCCAATAACGACGTTTCTTTATCTGTAAGATAGAATAAAGACCATGGTTATATAAAATAATGCATGCATTTGTGCTACTAAACTATGAATTGGTGATAATTATTCTACCATTATGAAACTATAGTTCTACTAATATTAACATAGATGCAACAGTTGCTGAATATTGATTTGAAAAAATTTTTTTTCATAATACATTCTGAAGGTTCTACTAGATCTAATTTTAAAAACAAATTGATTTGAGCATCTGCAAGAGTTTTAAATTCACATCCAATTGAATGTGATTTTCTGGATATTTTTCATTGAAATGAACCTTTATTAACTTTGTTTATCTATTGACACATTGATTCATCTATGCAAATGTAAGGACTGGATAGGATAGCTTTTGTAAGATTTTCATTAAATTCATTATGAAACTATTATGCAAAATAAAAGGGATCATCATTTGCTAATACATCTGTTAATGTCAAATATTTTATCATATTTCAAAATTGTTGATATAATATGTATTGATTAAATGCTAGTGAAACTCCAGCTGTTTCTTGTTTAATGAACTAATAATCGTGAATATCAGCATATTTTACATATATCATAATCGTTAAAATGCTAATAAACTCATAAATTCTGTTTATGTTAAATCATTCCACTTACGTTCACATTCACACGCACATTTATTTATAGATAGAATTACTACTAACATTATAAAATCAATAGGTATAAACCGCTCAAAAAATTATCTGGATGTTGCTTTAGAGATATCAGCAATATGTATGACTAATGTATTAGAATAGGAGTGGAACACTTAGCGAGAATCAATCATAATAATTTTATTGATTTATTGAACGTTATTAACATTATGAATAATTATGACTTCTTCATCCTCACTATCATCAGTATTACTTGAAATATCTGTTTCACTACCACTTGTTCTCTCTTCGTCACTTGTATCTTAATTGCTGTCTAAACTAATTTTAGGAAAAGCCACGAACTTTATACAGCCCACTGAGATCTCAATTTCATTTTCTAGTTGCAAATCAAGACAAATTACCTAGCGATTATTACCTCATGCTACTCGTAGAACTATTGCTGAAAGTTGTTTGGTTTTCCATAATTTTTCCAAAGTGGTTGAGCAATGTTTTCACCTACAATAGAGCTCAAAACAGAAACCTTAGCACCTTCTTTAATATTCAAAGAAATCCGTCTCATTTTAAAAGTTAGATAAAAGAAGAAAAAGTTAAATGAGAAAAGAACTTTTATATTCCTATACATATCTTATACGAATAAGCAATCATATTCATAATATTTCGCAAATTTCACAATCAATTTCAACTTGCATTGAGAAATCAACTTATTTATTGATTGCCTCATATATGCAAATTATGTATATAATGCCCATTTACTTCATATTTTAACCTTTTTTAAAGATAGGCTGTTATTCGTATTGTTAGTTATACCCACCATCAGCCAAAATCTAGCCAAAATTATATAGTCACGTAATTAATTTTTTAACTAAAGAAGGGTATAAATAACAATTCTCTTTTTTAAATCAGTAGGTTTACTCTACGCATAATTTACATGATTTTGTTAATTTTGTCTCACATATAACTCTGATAAGCCTATAATACTTATTATAGAAACCCCTAACATAAATAAGCATCTTATTAATTTTGAACTCCTGTTATCTATTTTAATTGGTAAAAATTTTCAGTTTATTTTCTGTCATAATTCAGTATAATGTACTTAATTTAGTACAGATAAATCCAATTCATTAATTATAAGCTAATTATTCTTTTTTTTATTTTTTTTTAAAAAAATTTAAAAAGCATGTGATAGGTGGACTAATACATCAAATGAATCTATTTAGAATTTTCTTATTTACACATCCTCTCATAAAGAATATTTATGATGCTTAAAAAATTTGTCAGATGAATTTCATACAGATCTCTTTTTAGCAAATAAAATAGAAGAAATAATTAAAAAAATTGGACCAGATAAATTATTAGCTATAGTAATAGATGCAGGACCAAACATCCAAAATATCTGTAAAATAATTTCTGATAAATATTCAAATATCCTTAATATTCATTGTATTGCTTATGCAATTAATTTAATTTTCAAGGATATATGTAATATTTCTTTTATAAATCAGATTTTAATTAAATGCAATACAATAGTGACTTTTTTTAAAAAAAGTCATCAGGAAGGTAAGTTTTTTTTTGTAATTTTTTCTTTTATTTTATTATAATATTTAAAAATTTTTTATATTTATTTCATTTTTAATAGATTTAGCTTTAAAAAAAAGAGGCTGAAAACTGTCAAATAAATAGGATAAGTTTGAAATGATGGGTTGATACTCAATGACATATTATGTTTGACTATGTTAATTCTATTAAACATTATAAGGAAACTTTAACAAAGGTAATATTAAAATTATTATATATTTATATAAATACTATATTATATTTAATTTCTATCATTAACTAAAAACAATATTTTATTATAATTATGATCTGATTATACAGATCTTCTTTTACCTGTAGTATTATCAATTTTATGATCTTGTGTTTTTTTTGATAATATATATGTATTAGCATTTGTATTGCATCTTATAAAAAGTAATTTTAAAATTAGAATCACAATCATGCACACTTGCAGATTATTTTATTAGACTAACTTAGCTTGAAGCTATGATTAACAAATTACCTAAAAATGATTATTGTGCTTTTCATCATCAATGCATTGTAATATTCAATAAACATTATACTAATTTTGCAGATCTAATATACTTATTGTGCTTTTTTTACATCTGTATTATAAAAGTTAGTTTTTTTTAAAAAAAAAAAATTAATGATTAAAAATTAATTAGATAAATGAAATATTTCTTTTGATTTTTAATATTTAAACCAATTTTTTAATCTAGATATTTGCTGAATGTAAGAAATTTTTCAGAAACTCTTATTGATTGCAGATGAACTTTTAAAAAACTAGAAAAATCAAATAGGGAATAAAGTGAATTAATGTATCAAATAAAATTATTCTGTACGTGTCAAGCTCCTTTTGATATTGAATTAGGTAAAACTGAATTACCAATTTCTTGGTGAATATCTATGGAAGATAATTTTCATGAAGGAGTAGATTATTTAATATAGTTAATAAGTAAGCTACTATCAATTACATTCTACGCAGCTGAATGTGAAAGAATTTAGTCTAGTCTTGACTGGTTATATGGTAAAAGAAGAAATCAGTTAGGGTTAAGTAAAATTGAAAATATGTACAAATTATCAGCTTATTTTCATGTACATGTAAAATAAAAATTGTCATATTATAGTATAGAAAAAATAAGTGATGAAATTTGTAAAATTTTAGTTAATATGCATTTAAATTCAGATGAAGATATTATTGAAGTAATGAAAGATGGTAAGATATTAATAATATAAAAGTAAATTCATTTGGTAAGGAAGATGATTTGATAATTGTAAGCTCTATAATTTAAATATAGATATATTTGTTAATAATTTAGACAAAATTATTAAGGATAGTTTGGAAGAGGATATAGAGAAAAAAGATAATTAAAATGCAGCTGAAAAAGAAAAAGAGATTAATATAAAGTGAGATCTAATTGTAGAAGCTGATAATATAGTTAATAATATATAAATTTAGAATTTTTTCTTAATTAATGTATATAATATGATTTTACAATAATAAACAATAATAAATAAATGTTAAAGTTTTGCTTAAAAAAATTTTTTTATTAATTTTAAATTTTAAATTCATATTTATTCGCTATTTTTATTTATATATATATTGTGTTTAGAAGTTACAGAGATTACAGAGATTTAGGCAGATTTTGGAGATTTGGGCAAAAGTTTCAGAATTTGATCAAAAAGATGAAACGTTTTGCCAATCACAAAACAGTTTTGCCTAAAACATTAGCAAAAAGCATTAGCTTCAAACTTAACTATTACACAAAAGATATTTTAAAAATTAAAATTTTAAACTTTGCAATTAAATTATAAATAACATCTTTTACTACTTTAGATAGATGATAGTAAAATTTAAAAAATAATATAATATAAAACAAATTAATAAAACTGAAGAAATAAATAGTATACTATTAAAAATATTAGAAGAAGAGCATTAGAATTTACAAGAAATTATTAAATAATATAATATTTACAACATAAATAATGTTAATAAAATAGGTATACAGTCAACCTTCTCTAAATATATTCTCTCTAAATACACATACTATATATTTTTCTTTAAATACACATTCTCATTCAGTTCTAAGCATATATAATTTATATAGAAATTTTCTTTTTAAATGCACATTCTCTTTAAATACATATTTTTTAAAATTTATATGGTGCAAACGGCTTAGTCGCATCAAATGGCTAAGCCACTGCTAAAATTTATGTCGATTATTTCCATATTTAATTTGCGATTTCATTGGTCAAAACCATTCACGTGATCAAAAATGATCACGTGAAAGTCATTAATATCACGACATTTCGCGTCATTTTACAATAATTTTTTTTAACTTTTTTATTCCAGTTTAGCAAGATTATAATGCCAAAAGTAAATAAACGCACCAGACAGTCTCGAGAAGCCATTAAGAAGCGTTGGAAGCAAGCAAAAGCTTCTGAAGAGGCAATAATTGAATTATCAG